GTTTGCTAAATATTGAGAATGTTATTTGGAAAAACCCTAACCCAAATCCCAATCCCAGCCCCGACCCCACCTTATTCCTAATCCAGTCTGAGGGTCATGCAGCAGGAAAGGATTCTCTGTCTGTCAAGGTAGGTAGTACTTCACAGGGTAAACACCCCTGCTTGTTCACAAGGGGCTTGCAGATTAGAAAAAGACAGACAGGCTGGTTGGCTCATCTTCGAAGGGGGAGGCTGAGCTAGCTTGACGTCTTTACAATCCTTACACATCTCATCTTCTCCCTATAGACAGGACTGAAATGGCAGAAGAAGTAGCCAAGGAAGAGATCTTTCTGATGGGGGGGGACAACTCCTACTTTAGAGATAAGAAAAGTTTTGCAACAGGGTTGATGGAGGTCATGCTGAAAGTCTTGAGTGGGGAGGGGGGAAATTGTATTATATAATCTCATAATCTTAAGGCTTCCAAATGCTCTCTTGCTGTTGGCACTGGGGCTGCATGCATCTTTGAAATTCGTAAATTCTTAAGTTTTACCCTAGATATTTTACTAGGCCCTATAAAATTTGTTTATTTTTGCCAGTCATGAAGTATTTTATATTCAATTCTTGTAAGAATCATTTGCAACAAATAATTTAGACAAGGTTCATTTTTATTATTGCAATTCTTAACTAGAGTAATTTCAACTTTTTCCACTTGAAGTGTCTGCCATTATTTTTTCTAACTCTAAAAATAATTGTCCTTAAATTAATCCTATTGGGGGGGGGGATTGAAATAAATTCCCAACTACCTAATCTTTTAAGCAGTAATGTTGAAGTCTGTTGTTTGCTGTAAATACTACTTTTTATATAGATACATTTCACATCATTTGATGTGAATAATTAATCTTATTGTCAACGCTGCTAACATCAGATGTTCTTGTTTTGACAACAGATGGAAATGCAGCCATTTTCCTCTATTGCTTTTAGAATTAGTTGATGCTGGGAGGGGGAATGTGGATGAAAGTCCAGCTAGTCATAACAATAATAACTCAGCAGTGGGAACCCAAGGTCATTGGGCCCAAAGTTGATAGGATTTTGGTGGGCTGGAGAACTGGGGAGAAAGCCCATGCTTCAAGCTAATTGGGGAATGTGATTTATGATTGTTTATTGGAGGAGGGAATTGTGCTTTGGTACTTTGTATCCAGGGGAGAGGAATTTAATTTTTGGTTTCAACTATGTAGTGCGGATACTTTCTTTCTCGAATAAAAGATCCTTTAAGGTAAACAATGCCTCGAAGTTCTTTTGAAGATTTTCATCTGTCGGAACCATGACACTTATCTTCTTAGTCAATTATTCTAATACCAATAGATACAAAGAAGTAAAGTGAAAAGCCCAGTACTATTACTGCTACTAAGGCAATTGTTAAATGAGTTTGCCTCATTTTATTGCCAAAATTGTTAAGGAAATCACTGCGGTTGTTAAGTAAATTATGCGGTCATTAAATCTGGCTTTCCCCATTGACTTTGCTTTTCGAAACTTACTGAGAAGGCTACAAATGATGATCACATGATCCCGGGACAGTGCAACTGTCATAAATACATGCCAGTTTCTAAGCTCATATGATCATGGGGATGCTGCAATGGTTATAAGTGTGAAAACAGTCACAAGTCACTTTTTCAATGCCATTGTAACTTTGAATGGTCATTAAATGAATGGTTGTAAGTTGAAGACTACTTGTAATACATTTGCCATAATACATTTCTTATTACAAGAGAGTATCATTCTTCTAAATGCTAGAATATTATCATTCATATCATGTTTATGTTGGAAAAAATGTTCTAAGTGTAAAGGAAAGCTTTTTTGCAGAAAGGAAATTTCCTAAGTCTGAGGAGAAAAATCTGAGGGGGAAAAAACTTACTTTTTCTATTTAGTCTTTGCTGTCACCCAGTGGATTTTCCCTGTAACATCTATTTCTTTCCCTATGGACTGAGAAATGTGTATCCATCCAGACCAGGGATGTCAAACTGCTGGCCCATAGGCTGGTTGCATCATATGGAGACCGCGCCCACCCCAGCTCCGGCAATGCAAAAAAAATTGCAATACGTCACAACACGTCACATGACAAAGCAAGTTTGACACCCATGATTGAGTAAACTCCCTTTCCATATTTCTAACAATTTAGTCTCTATCTTGGTTTCATTAGAAGCAACCAAATTATTACAAAACAGTTCATAGCTTCCAAACTCTGGTTCTTTTTTTTAAGTTGGTCATTGGACTTTTAGTGGGAAAATTTTGGCTCTAGGATTAAATTTTGTTCTTGTCTGCATCTAAGCATTGCTTATATTAGATGTCCACTGTATCATAACAAAGTTTCTTAGGCCTAGTCAAAACAAACAAAAAATATAGATATTTTGTAATCATTTATTCATTTTGAAACTGCAATTATTAGGTAAGCCAGGTTCAGATTTAATCTGAATTTTTGGGAGTCTTTCATATACATCTTGTATGAAAACTTGAAAGAACAAATGTCTACGGAGATTCTCAGTCATCCAAGTTACAGTTGACCCAAATTGCTTTTTCAAAAGGCAACTGGATTTTGTTTTTCCTTGAAGACATTTTGCTTCTCATCCAAGAAGCTTCTTCAGTTCTGACTGAATGGTGGAGGATGGAAGGATTTATATTCCTTGCAGCCATCTAGTCATTAGCACGCTTTCTGAGAATCATTGAGACCACTTGGAGATTTATCTGTGCCTTCAGGGTCACCTGAATAGTGCAAATGGATGTGGAACCTTCTTGGAACTGCTGAAAGGACTGTGTTGTAAATGAGATAGGTGGTGTTGTATCCCTCCCCCTCTGTTGAGATGGCCTCTTTGTCCCCTCTTTCAAACCACGGGTCCTCTCTGTCCAGGATGTGGACTTTGCCGTCTTCAAAAGAGTGATCTTTGTCTTTCAAATGCAGATGGACTGCTGTTCTTTTGAAAGGTAATATATGAATCAGTATATGCTTTGGTAGAAGCAAAGAGGCAAACAAGAAAGGATAGGTTATATATATTGTTCACATAAACTATTTTTTTCTCTTATCTCCTGTTTTTAATTTGTTTTGTGTACTATTTTTTATTCTTTTTATGAATAGTCATATATGTTAATTATTTTATTTACATTTTGTATTTCTTATTAAATTCCAAAGAGATTCTGAGTTAAGTCTGGTAAATTCAGTGTTTTATTACAAATGAAGATAAATCCAGGAAATCAATTAACTGCACAAACAATATGAGCTAGTTTTTTTTTATAAATGCTTTCTGTAGCTGTATCAGCAGTCATGAAAGATTTCATCAATTATTTGCAGATCAATGGTACAAGCGTCGTTTTTAGTGTCTAGACAATCTTCATTATTACTAAATTCATAATGAAATTATAGAGTTGGAAGAAACAATTTAAGCCAATAAGTCCAACCTTCCGCTCTCTGCAAGGATCTAAATAAAAGTATCCCAGAATATATTTGTTTAACTTTTGCTTAATCGTGCTCAATTTCCTCTACTTCTTCATCTAAGTCTTTAATCAAAAAAATCTAATACTTATTGAATTTGCTAATGATAGGAAGCTGGCTAATAGCTAAAATTCTAGAAGACAGAAATAAAATTCAAAACAAATCTGATAGGCTGGATCAGGGATGTCAAACTCAATTTCATTGAGGGCTGCATCAGCATTATGGTTGCCCTCAAGGGGCCAGTTGCTGTCACCTTCTCTGCCTCAGCCTTGCCCACAGAAGCCTCTCCTATCCTATCCCCTTCTCTCCCTCCCCCTCCTCCTCCTTCACACCAAAATCCTTCCTTTTATATCTTCTCCTCTCCTCCCCTATGCATTCACTCTACCCGACTGGCCTTTCCATGCAGTGCTCATCAGCTGGAGCTGCGGGTGCTGATTCTGGAGTCCCCGCCAAGCCCCAGCAGCCCTGCAGCTCTACCTGATTTTTCCCCCAAAGACTGCATGCACTGTTGGCCACCCCCGAGGCTGCTGGAAGCCCTAATCAGCTGGAGCCTTGTGCACCTATCGGGGCCTCAGCAGAGCCCCAGCCACACCATAGCTCCAGCTGACTCTCCCCCAGACCTCTCTGGCACTGCCACCGCTTCAGTTCTCTCTCTCTCTCTCACACACACACACACACACACACACACACGCTACATATTCAATCATCTCCTCCTACTAGTCTGCTTGCAGGCCAGATCTAAACACATCATGGGCCAGATCTGGCCCACAAGCCTTGAGTTTGACATGTCTGGGCTGGAGCAAAAAAAGTTGATCACTGGAAGTAATTGTTCTACATTATTCTGCTTTGGTCATTTTGAATAGTGTGTACAGCTCTGAGCACCATATTTTAAGAAGGGTTCACATAAATTGGAACTGGTTCAAGAAAAAAGGAATGAAGATCATTAAGAGATCAAAGTCCTATGAAATGAGGAGTGAAATCATTTAAGGTATTAGAAATTAAACTCTATGAACATAGATTTAAAAAAATGGATATGTTTAAACCAGAGAAAATGTTATTGAAGAAGTATATGACAGCACTGTTTGTGCTTTATGCACAAAGATGGGAGTATAAGTCCTGGGCTCCCGGTTTCTAGCCTGGTGCCCTAACCATTACACCAAACTGGTTCTGAGATGGTATACCAACAGATGAAACTCTTCAAAAGAACTTTGAGGCATTCTTTACCTTAAAGAATCTTTTATTCGAGAAACAAAGTATCGGCACTACATAGTTGAAACCAGAAACTAAATTCCCCTCACCTGGATACAAAGTAACAAAGTGCAATTCCCTCCTCCAATAAACAGTCATAAATCACATTCCCCAATTAGCTTGAAGCGCAGGCTTTCTCCCCAGCCTCCAGCCTGCCAAAACACTATCAGCTCTGGGCCCAATGTCCTTGGGTTCCCACTGCTGAGTTATTATTGTTATGACTAGCTGGACTCTCATCCCTATTCCCCCTCCCAGCAGCAACTAATTCTAAAAGCAATAGAGAAAATGGCTGCATTTCCATCTGTTGTCAAAGCAAGAGCATCCGATGTTAGCAGCATTGACACCATATTTGAAAGAATGTAGTTTTCGGGTTTCAAATTAGACATAGTAGTAAATCTTCATTCTCTAGACACCTAATTCTATATTCAGGAATTGGTTTTTCAGCAGAGGTTTCACAGACATAGCACCACAAGATTATTTTTTTGATTTCAAACAAAAATGAAAGCATATATACACAGAGGACCTACTTACTGAAGCACACAACACTCAACCTCTGTATAGATCTGTAGACAACACTCAAATCCTCTGTATAGGTCTGTATTTATGGCATTTTTCCTGCCATTCTGAGTTATTGATATTTTTTTCTCTTCATGGCCTTGAGACTGGAAGGCAGATCATCAGAACTGACATAAAGTTCTGTCTGTTGGAATGAATTAAACTGATGGAATGGAATGGATTAAATTGATATTCTCAGGATTGTCATCACTTCCACTTCATTTCAGATTCTTCTTGATATATGAGGATGGACCATGCCTCCACTAACTATCAGGATAAGTAACTAGGCTTTCTATCACATTGTTACTTCAATAGATTTTGTTTTTGTTTCATGCAAGCACCATCCTTCAGAATTCTTACTAAAAACACTATTCTTCTAACTTAATTGTTTCTTGATGTGTACATTTATTCCATTAAGTGAAACTACCTGTCCCAGTATTTCTCAGGTCTGAATATTTGAGGCTTGGTGCAACAAATGAATTACTAAGTAATTGCTCAGGTCCAATAGCTTATTTATTTAATTTAGCATATGGCAAGGTCTAATAGCTGATGCTATTGGAGAACCCCAAAACTTCTCTTTGTCTCTAAATTCATATTTTGCATCTCCATTTTTTTTTTCCAGTTGGTGAAAAATAATGTTGCAGTGTAATATAAGCCAATCTTATTTTTAAATGACAGAGAGCAATTTTAGGAATTGCTGAAAGAGAAAAACAAAGGGAGGTGGGGAAGGAGGAACTGGAAAACTAGCTATAAATTCAGATTCCAGTAACTCAGCACTGTGATGTGGCTGCTATAGGAAAGCACATACTTTGACAGCTTTGACAGAAGCAGAGTTTCCAAATCCCAAGAAACAATTATCCCACTTTGATCAGACCTCCTCCTTCTCCTCAGAAACAGTCTCCCGTACTTTAAAAGGGAAAAGGGGGGGGACTGGGAAATTCAAAGAAGAGCCGTATGGTTCATTAGGAGAAACTAAGCCCATGATACATGACCCTGTTACATCAGTCTGGAGATGAGAAGCTTTAGGGAAGATGTAAAAGAATATCACCTAGGAAAGGATCAGGATCAGCATGTGACTGCACCCAATTTTACACCTTTTTTTTTGGAGAGGGAGTGGTACTACATTGTACCCAATGGTCATTTTTTGCCAGAAATCAAAAGCAAATCCTGATTACCAGCAAAAAGAAATATCTTAAATTGTGGTCAATGACTGTGAGACACTGCAAATGACTCTAAATGCAGATTGGTTGCCAAGCATCCAAAATGTGATCATGTGACCATGGGGATGGGATAAGGTGGACAGCCATCAAAATTTCCAAAGCAGGTCATAAGTAGCTCTGAAGAAGTCTGTGGCAACCTCAAATGGTCTTTATATGACCATTTATAAGTCAAAGATTACCTATAGAACAGATCTAGGTTTGAGCAACAGGGCCACACATAAAAGACATGAAATGAGAATAATGGCCTCTGATCTTTATTCAGAGAACATATTAATATTTCAATATTTTCTATATTATTGGATGTAATGACTAATTGTTAAATAGAAGGAAACATCCACAGGGATATGTTTCCTCCAGAGGTCAACATTTGTATTAATGAACAGTGCAATTTCTGATCTTAGAAGCCACACTCACAAGAAGAAAGAAGCCATTGAAACATTATTATAGATGATAGAAGTTTATTCCAACCAAATGCTATTAAAAGAAATGAAGATACAAATTATGCACAGGAACAATATTTGTAAGATTGATGCAGGGATTCCATCTTACTGAATTTAATTTGAAAATGCCCAGAATTGCACTACAAACTAGTATATTTTGGGAGGTAAAATTATTCTTTCTATACATTTATTAAGTTATCTCTGTATCCCATAATGTGGAAAAAAAATCTTTCTGAGAAATTGTTTTGTTTTGGGGGAAAATATATTGCTCAGCTTATCATGAATCTGTTGTTCATTAAGTGTGCAGAGATTAATAAAAGAAAAGACGCAAAGTGGAAGTAATCTCTAATGCTTGAGTATTATATAATTCAGGGAACAATTAGTAGTTCTCTGATTCTAAGCATTTTATATGAAAGTTCTTTGAACTACATTAATTCTTCTGAATCAGTGCTAAACGTCAGAAACTGCATAACTCATCTTGCTTGTCTCAAAGATCATACTGCAGAATAAGGGAACAGAGCATTATGTTCATTAAATTCCTGAAAAGCAATATTTTGAATTATGATCTTGATGATGTGATACAGTGAGTGTAAGAAAATATAGTGAGTATAAGAAGATACAATCCCTATGCTTATTGTATCTGGCAACTATGTTTTATAAGACTGTTCAGTAATTATGGTCAAAGGAAAATAATTATTTAGAAGTTAAAGAGTATACCCTGATTTATTAGGTCAGGTCTACTCAGATCATTTATATTAAACATTTGGTTCAAAAATATGATGTGAAGAGGAGGAAATCATAAAATATTTAATATTTATTATGATGAAAAGATCTATAAAACTCTCTCCAATTTCAGTCTAAAAGACAAAACTGCTTTAGGCATGAAAGCCGTCTGGGTGACCTTGAGCCAGTTAGTCTCTCTCAGCCCAGGTCACCTCACAGGGTTATTGGTGTGGGGAAATTTGGAGAAAAAAGACTTGCTGCCTTGAATTATTTAAAAAATACAGGTAGTCCTTTAAATCAAGGACTTGATTTACAGCCAAAAGTTTTGATCCCAAAATTTCTGTTGCTAAGCAAGATAGTTGTTAAATGAGTTTTGCCTCATTTTAGGGCCTTTCTTGTCAGTTATTAAGTGAACCTTAATAACTGCAATTGTTAAGTTAGTAACATGATTGCTAAATGAATCTGGCTTCTCTATTGCTCGTCAGAGAGTTGCAAAAGATGAACATATGACCAAGGACACTGCAACTGTCATAAATACAGGCCATTTGCCAAATTTTAATTACTTGGGCATGGGGATGCTGCAATGGTTGTAAGTGTGAAAAACATCCAGGTATAAATAATAAATAAATATTTGGTGTACAAAGAAACAGCTCATTTTTATTTTTGCATTACTAAACCTTCAGATATGAAAATTTACTTAACTCTTTGACATTTCTAATATAAAATAATTGTGAAATGTTGCAGGTATAGAAGGTTTTGGATGATTGATTCTCATCAATGTTGTGTCTATATGCTCTATGTTCCATACTTATTTCATCTCCCAAACATTTCCTTGAAAAATATAGTTCTTCCCAACTCTTTCTTTTTAATATGTAGTTCTGTAAGATAATAGTGAGAGTGGTGTACTTTTCTTCCAGTTAATTGTGATTGTGATTGAATTCCTATCCTTGTGCATACTCACTGTTTTCCATTTCTCCAGACGAAGCCCATGCTGGATGCAGTGACAATCAATCACAACCAGAGCCTTGGACAAGTTGTGACAGAGTTCATTCTGCTAGGATTTCCTCGGGTCCAGTTGTTAGAAATTTTCCTTTTTGCAATCATCTCTATTATTTTCATTCTCACCCTCTTGGGCAATCTGATTATCATCAGTGTTATAGTAACTGATGCTCATCTTCATACACCCATGTATTTTTTTCTGGGAAATCTTTCCCTTCTGGAAATATTCTTCACCTCAGCCATTGTGCCCAAGATGTTAACTAACTTGCTGGCTAAGAAGAAGACTATCTCATTTTCAGCTTGCATTGCTCAGTGTCACTTCTATTTCTTCCTGGGCTCCACTGAGTTGCTTCTTCTGAGTGTGATGTCCATTGACCGCTATGTTGCTATCTGCAACCCACTGCGTTATCCCATCATAATGAACAGTCATATCTGCATCTCTCTGGTGGTTGGTTGTTGGATAGGCGGCTTTTTGCATATCCTGTGGCCAACAATAGTGATATCCCAGCTCCCTTTCTGTGGCCCAAATGTAATCAATCACTTTTTTTGTGACAGTACCCCACTCCTGAAGCTTTCTTGCTCTGACACACAGCTCATTGAATTTGTCGATGTGCTTCTTGCTTCCTTTATGCTTGTGGGCACTCTACTTCTCATCATTGTATCTTACGTCTACATTATCTCCACTGTGCTTAGGATCCCATCAGCCACCGGGAGGCGCAAGTCCTTTTCTACTTGTGCCTCACACATCACTGTGGTGACAATCTATTATGGCAGCTCCATTTTTATGTATGCTCAGCCAGCCCAGAGCTCCTCTCTGGAGTTCAACAAAGTGGTGGCCATTCTGACAGCTGTGGTGACACCACTTCTAAATCCCCTTATTTACAGCCTGAGAAATGAAAAAGTCCGGGAAGGCCTGAAAGAAATGGTGAAGAGGAAGCATGCTTCCCAGAGAAGAAGAGAATTTTTGATATGATTTCCTTTTCTTCCATGCAAACACTTGGCAAATCCACCTTAATCAGTAAGAAGTTTGTCATGGATCCTGTGAATTAGCTGTTGTATGTGGAAGAGACCTGATCTCATGATGAACCGGACACTGTGTTAATGCTTGGGCTTTGTTTTCGTCTCCTGATGAAGCCAATGACTATCACAGCCAGATTACTGTAATATTTGAAGCCTAAGCTGATAGTTCAAGAAAACTATTTTTGTTAAATCATAACAAACCTGTATTAAAGAATAAAATAAGTTCAGTTGCTAGAAAACAAAGTGACAATAAAACAGTTAAATTTAAATTAATCAGTTAGCCTTCTGAATTTCTTTTCATTTTTAACTTGTAAATTTTAACCTTGTTTGAATTTTGTTTTTATCTGTGCTTTTAGACATGTTTTATATTTTATTATGTTGTTTGTAAACCTTCCAGAGTCACTTAGGTGAGTTGGGCAGTGTTGTAATTAATTAATTAATTGAAATCTTTTTATCTAAAAACAATGGAGAATTTTAAAAAATAAAGAAACAAAGTTTGTCCCCCCCCCCATCTGTTATAGGCTATTGTGTGGAAGGTACTCCTTTCTTACAGATTTGCTTTTCATTTGTTTGCATTGTTGATAACTTTTTAATAAAAGTCTAAGTTGTTTTTAAAAAGGACTCATACGTTTGAACAGCATCTGAGTAATTCCTCTGAAGCAAAACTCCATTTGGGAAGAACACTTATCATTTTGCACAGTGTTACAACAAAGCTACAAAGACAGATCAATGAAACTGGGTTCAAACAAATTCTCTTCAGTGTAATTCAGAACAATGACTCTTTTTTTACTGTAAACACTAATCTTGTCATGGCTTTAGTAAAGCCAGAGAAGGACCCTGAGGAAGTTTTCTTAACCTTAGTGCTCCAGTTTTCTTTAATTTCTCAATGACTTTTGGTAACATTAATCATAACATCATTCTGAACCAACTGCTATATAGTAAATGGGAGTGGAAGCCATAGTGTTGCAATGGTTCTCTTCCTGAGATTAATTGCTGGTGATAGGGAAGGAGCTTTACTCCAAAGTCCCTGGTTTGTAGGGTAGCACAGGGTTCAAAATTCTTGCCCTCCTGTTTAACATTTACATGAAGTTATCTGATGACATGGAGTTAGGTATCATCAATATGTGGGTGATATTCAGTGGTCTATCACAACCCCTGGTAGAGCAAATGATACTATCAAGATCTATTCAGTGCCTGAAAGTTAATGGGGTTTAGATAGAGAAGAGCAAACACTCATTTCAGACAAATCTGAGTGACTGGGTTCATGATCCTTCCAGTGTTGAAGTTTTTCTGTCTTTAGTTCTGAATGAGGTTAACTTCCTCAGATAGAATTTGTACACAATTTGGGGGTCTTCCTGAGTCACAACTCCTAATTAAGAATAGATGGTAAAGGTGGCCAGGAAAACCTTTTCATAGATTCATCTGAAGTGCTAATTGGACCCTTTTCACAGGGAATCTGTGATTCCCTTCTCATGGCCACCGAAGCCTTAGTCACCTCATGTGTACTCAATTGCAGTGTGCTCTCCATGGGGATGCTCTTGAGGACCATTTGAAAGCTCCAGCTGGTCCAGAATGCGGTGCCTCAAGCAGCTGTAAGAATGTCTTGGTACCCCCATGAAACACTTCTGCTACACAAGCTGCCAATGGGCAATTTAAATTGCTGGTTGTGACCTATAACTCCCTTCATGTTATAGGATACATGACTCTTTATCTGAAGGACAATTGTTCTCCCATTGTTTTTGACCTTCCCATTGTTTTTGACCTTTCCATACAATGGGCTCCCTTCATATTGTATCTATAAACAATGAAATCTGAACAGGCCTAGGAAATATGTTGTGGCATCTGTCTTTTAGACTAGAGCAGCATCTCCCTGAGAGTTTGAACAACTGAACCCTGTTGTATAAGCCTTGAAAACCACCTTTTTCCCAAGTCCCAGAATAGGGCTATTCACCTGGACTGTATTATGCACAATTTGTTTATGATGTATATCTCTTTCCCCCTGTGATGTTCTTTTTTTTTTTTTGCTTGATTTAATGTACCATAGCTGGGTTTTTAATTTGTATGCCACCCAGAATTGTTTATGACTTCAGCAGCCTTATAGATCAAAATTATCTAAGTAAATATATCAGGAACAATAATATTTGACTAATAGAAATATAGATAATCCTTGTTTAGCAACAACAATTGGGACCAGCAACTCAATCATTAAGTAAAGTGATTGTTAAGTGTAACCGCAACTGTACATATAATCTTATTTCAGCTTTGCTTTATAGCTTTACAAAGGTTATAAGTGTGACGATTGATTGTAAAGTTACTTTTTCATCACCATCGTAACTGCAAACAATTGCTAAATGAAGCAGACACTAAAGGAAGACTATCTGTACCACCACTTTGAATTCCAAATATCATTTCATGGAGAAAGCAGTCCCATATGGAATAGACTGGATCTCAGATTTGATTCAGTGTAAGTCAGATAAAAACAAAGGAGAGGATTGTTACCCACAGTTCTACAGTCTGTGAATCATATGAATTATCAGACAGAAAGCCTTCTGTAATTAATCTTCTCTAGTGTCCCTTTCTATTCTGCCCATTCAACCTAAGAGCCTCTGGTTTTTTTGTTTCACTCAAATATACCCACAATATAATATTAAATATATCTTTCCCAAGATATATATTTCATTTGGCTTTGAATCTGGACCTTCCCTAAGATTTTGATTCAGGAAATGGGCTCTTGAATGTGCTTTTATCTATTATTAAATAGTAGCAGAATAGTATTATCTTGCCTACAGCATTATATTGATATATCTGTACTATTGCCCATGCTGAGATAGTCACTTACTAGAAGCCAGGTTTAATTTGCTAAATAAGTCTACATTACTATAATTCTCCTATAATGAATAAACATTGCTATAATTCATTGGAGAACACAGATGGAATTATTGGTTAAACATAACTCTAGTGTAGTTCAACATCAATTACTTTAAACAAGACCCTAGAGTTTTCTGGGCCTCATTCTGGAAAAAGTTTAGTTCAATTGTTAGAAATTCAGAGAGGACTACATGGATCAACACTTGGCCAGATCAAGTACTTAATCTGCAATTACAGTTTTATTTTAATAGAAAAACTTTTTAATTAGGCCCAAAGGATTTTTATATACTCTTAATTGGTCTCTAATGTCCCATTTTAAAATAAATTTAGAAGACACAACTCAGAGGATTAACTTTTGAAATATTGGCCAATAGAGAGTGTTGTCACTATTTTGATACTTAATTTAGATGTCACAAATCTAGCCTTTAATTAGGCTGGTCCTACTATTAAACAGATTGATATTTTACATGATTTGACTCAAAGCATGTGCAAATTTGACTGTCATGGTTCCGATAGATGAAACCAATTAAAATAACTTCAAGGCAAAGATTTCTTCCTTAAAGAACATTTTATTCAGGAAACAAAGTATCGGCACTTACATAGTTGAACCCAAGACTAAAGTTCCCTCCCCCCTGATACAAAGTAACAAGTTGCAATTCCCACCTCAGAAAGGCTGTCATAAATCACATTCACCAATTATTCTAAAGGGGGGGGCTCTCCTCCCAACTTTTCAACCTACCAAAACTTTATCTAACATTGACCTTGATTCTCACCCAGCTGCGATTGTTATGGCTAACTGAAAATGCTCAAGCATTCCCCCTCTTCAAGAAGATGATCATCTTCTTGCATGATTGTTTATTCCCCAGTTTTTCCAAAATGGGATTAGCTGGACTAGTAATATATTTGCTTCAGGGCAAAAACTTCTCAGAGAATAACTCCACCTTTTGAAGCTAGCTTGGGTTTGTTTGAGTATGAGCTTGCTCTCCTCTTGTTTTCATCTCTACTCATGAAGTTGCTTATAATAAATGCAGAAGGATATCCTGAGCTCTCCCCCTCATTTGCCAGCCTTTTGGTTCACGCCAGGCAGAAACCTTTTTGAACCTTCAGATGTTGACACCTTCACCACCCCATATTGGACTTGAACTTAGTCAGCATGACTCTCAGGAGATCAGTGTAGTCCATTGAGTTGGATTTGTATTGCAACCCCAAAAAAACAGCTGGACCAAAGCACTCCAATACATTGCTTTCCTAGACTTTAGAAGTATTATCTTTTGGGTATCTGAAGCAGCTGAGCTGACTTGATCCCAGCTCCACCTTTCAGTTGCATACAGAATCAAACAAAGAAGAGGCATATCAAAATTCATCTTTTTTAACTTTTTAAGTGGGAGTCCCAAGCTCCATGGTTTCAAAAACTACGCTGAACAAGGCAACTAAGGAATATGGGCAAAGAAATTAGTGAAAGACACTCTTTAGTTTCTTTCCTTTCCAATTATTGGAGTGTACTTCAGAGATCAGAACTCTCTTTACAGGTTGCAAAGGAGAAGAGATTATTTCCATCCTACCCTCTGCCCCACTTTGATCCTGAAGCATTTTTTCTATTTCTCTATTCCCAAGTGAAATGGTACCTGTGCAAAAGGTGCCTCAATATATAGGTGTGAATGTCACCTCTTGTAAATTTCTCCCTCTTTACTATAATAAGAAGCCTCCAAACTGTTGACCTTTGTTGCAGTAGGAGTCTTGATATTTCTGTTTTTACTTATTGCTTTTGTGAACACAGAATGAAGCTAAACATTTATTAATGCTTGATATTCGTTTCCCCAATATTTTTGGAACTCCATGCCTCTATTTTTTCTTGAATGCAGTGTTGAATTGAATTGAATTCTGTGAACAGCTTGCCTTTCTTTCATTGAACTGAATGATAGGCTAAATTATCATGGGTTAATACTGCTTCTTATTTGATTCATTTGTATGTCAACTTTAAGTATTATTTCTATTGTATTCCCTCTCAATGGTCAGCTGTTATTATTTTATTGCCTTTATGTCATTATTTTCAAGCATTAGTCAAATATCTTTGGGTACTTTTAGGGATTTCCTAAAGGTTGGAGGGATTTTTCTGTCAACTTCAAAGCCCAGTCATAAAACATTTCTGTGAGTATGTTGTGGCACATACTATTTTGACTAAGTAAATATCAACTCTCAGTTAGTTTGATTCACTATTGGTGAGCTAATGTTTGTGTTTAGATAATTACATATTTAATATATTGTTCCTTTTGATGTCCATGCTAATCAATCCAAGTCCACAGAGATCATTAGAATAAACTATAAATGAAAGAAAGACTCCTAACAACCTTGACTTCAGAGGTAAGGGAAAGAGAAAGTTAAAAACAACTGTACCAGTATCTCTTTTCTAGACAAACAGTTACCACTTCACCAAAATGAGTAGTAGTGTGGCTTTATATGGGACAAATTACCCAGTGTCTCCCTGAACTTTTGTAAGAATGTTAAAGAGATTCTCTAGAAAAAAAAGGATAAATATAAAGGGAGATAATTTATTTTTTGTTTTCATTTAGGCACAGTTTGCAAGCAAATAATAGTGGCCATAAGCAAGATTCAAGTCCAAAAGTTTCTGCTTGCCTCAATACTATATATACTGCTCCCTCCCTCCCTTATCTAAGCCCTTATCCTGAGATCTGGGAGTGGCTTCAGGAGATAGTATTTTCAGACCAAAATTGGGATTACCAGGTCAAGAATTTCCAAAAGAAAAATTATACTCATAAGACCTTCCAAGACAGAAATAATCCAACAAATATCATTTTCTCTTCACAGATTTTGGGAGCAGTTGTCTTATTCTCATCTCCAGGGAGAAAGCTATTCATTACTCAGGCCTTGGTAGAGCCTTACCCAGTCTTTGGGAGCAATTTCTGTTTCCCTTTCTCCTCATCCACAAAGATAATAACAATGCATATGGTGTGGAAAAATACAGAATTATTTGATTTTACTTTCCTTTACAGTGTTGAAGCTCAAGGTCACCAATGATATTGGTATTCAGAGTTCAATGAAAAGGATTAGTAGTAGCTTTAGAATAAAGAATAAAACACAATTTTGTGTCATGTCACTTCCTGGATTCTAAATAGTTATTCTCAGTGCTTTTTTTCTAAAAAAAAAAAAAAAAAAAAGGTGCCGGAACTCACACACGTCATACAACCCGCCTTGCCTACCCTACAAGGTTCCATCCAAAAAAGGAACTCCGTTCTGAGCATTCTATGAGAAAAAAAGCTCTGGTTATTCTTACTTCTTCAGGGCTTTTGCATTTTACTATTATCTCGGCCAAGCAATGATTGCTCTCCAGCCTTCATTTTATGGATGCACAAAACCCTCAGTGGATTTTGCACAGTTTTGTGTGTAACCTGGATAGCAGATAAGTGAAGACAGTTGGTTGTAGAAAATGTTGCCTATGAATGAAGTTGCGTTTCTGTTTCTTGCATGGTAGATGTAACATTCAGAACAGAAATTTGAGCAGAAGAGGTGTCTATACCTAAAATATGGAAGAACCAGCTAGAGGTGTTTTCTTTTTAATATGGCTCATACAGAAAAAAAGTTCAACTTATTTGAGCTTCTTCTAACCTTGCTCTGATTTCAGACATTAGAATTTTAAAAATCTTCTTTGAATTAACCTTGTCTACTCTACTCTACTCAATTCTATTCTCAAGTCTTTTTCTTTCCTCTACTTTGTGAATAATTTTTGCCCCTGAGACATGTAGTGGGGTGGAAGGAGAGAGGAAATGGATAAACTTGTATGCTGCAGTTTGAGATACATGAGCAACTTTGTTGGATTCTATGTATAATATGTATCTATTTAATTTTGCATGCTGAGTAAGTAAACAGAAAGAAATCAGCTATTCTGTCATTCCTTTCCATTGTACAAATTCAAGCATTGTGTGTAAGGGGAAAATTACCCAAAATTAATGAAAAAGAAAGCGAAGAGTGTGAATTGCTTGAAAAAAAATTATAATTAGCAAAAAAATTAAACATCTATATATTTTTACAAATGAAATGAAAAAACTTTTTAAATACACTTTTAAAATTTTCAGCCTAACATAGAACAGAGTGAACAGAATGTAAGATTTCCCCCCCCCCCATGGCAACCATTAATATTTTCTGACTTTTTAAAAAAAAAATTAATAGTTTGCCAAAATCTTCCTTGAAATTTCTCAAAAGTTTAATTTCACCACAAAAGGGGTCTTCCAATTTTCTGACTTGGTCTCAGGACGTTTGAGAATTTCTTCTGGATTTCTCTTGGTGGAGTTTAAGCTCATTCTATTGCTGGAGGCAGTGGAAAAAAGAATATCCTGGGGGTGAGATTGTTTTGCTTCACAGATAAATGAGAGGAATTTCCTCAAGATGGCATCACCTGGGACATAATGATTGAAGCACAGACAACCAGGGAGATTGCAACTGATTGGAGAGCTAATTGTGCAGTGACTGCGCACGCACACACACACATTCATCTCAGAATTAATAAGATCATTCCCCATCAATGGGAAAGCAAATTCTGAAGAAGGGACAGGTAGGTAATAAAAGATAATACAATAAAATGTTTATGCATGGGCACTGTTCCAAATTATTGAAGGCTACTACACATTTCCTATCTGAGAGTTGGGAAGCATACTAATGCCTTCAGATTTAAAAAGTAATATGTTTTTATAGTTGATTGACAAAGAAAAAAAATCTAGGAGAAAGCTGCTATGTTATTGATTATGGGCATCACATGCTGCTTTACACGCTAGCAGCATCAACCTGCCTGTCTTTCTGCTTTACTTGCAACAGATGGAGGTTTTTTTATATATATATATTCTACAAATGACCAGCCTTAATCCAAAAGGCCATTCATTCTTTATTCTTCAGCCTGACCCAATGTGCCTCTTCTGATGTAGTTGTATTCATTTATTATTCTTCATCAGAACACCTATCTCCTTTTAGTGCTGCTTTCCAAAATAACATTTAGAATAGAAAGGATTTATGGAGGGGAAGGATAGCTGAGCCTATTAGATCACTAGATACATGGGAGATCCATGATATTATAGTGTGGATGTGATTAAATCAGCTTTGGGGGAAAACAATGGGGAAAGGGGTTATTTCCACCTTTTCTGGACCAGCCCATTTCTGAAGAAACAATAAAGGCAGCGGGCTGACTGGGAGATGCAATAGCAATAGTAGACATGAAGGAAAACATTTCTCATGTTTTAGATAATTTTGTTCCCCCACAGCTTGAAAAAGGTTCCTTCTGTATTTGTTGTTGTTATGTTAGTATAAATCTTAATACATTGTTATTTTATTAGAATGATAGGTATATATTTTAATTCTACAGTTTAGATACATTGAAGTATTGGATATAAAAAAGGAGAGGGTTTTTAAGAAGAGATTGGACAATCGTCTGAAATGGCATAGGATTTCCTGCTTGAGCAGGGGTTGCACTAGAAAACGTCCAAGATCCCAACCAATTGTTACTCTGTTATTGTATCATTATTCATTATTATTTAGGATATCAGTATTACAATGATTATTTGACTTTTTCATTCAAAGTTAAATAGAATATTGGAAAGGAAAAGATGAAGAAATATCATACATCAAGGTATTTGTTATGTGATAAAAGTTTCAGTCTTGGGTTAGATTACTTGATACTGAAATCTCCATTGTATTATTACTTGGTATGCATTTTGTGTGTGTGTGTGTGTGTGTGTGTGTGTGTGTGTGTGTTTATACATGTTAAAGAAGGAAAAAAATAGATAAACAAAACAAGGTTAACAAAATTAAAATACTGAAGAAGAAACAAAAAAGACAAAGAAAAAAATACTTTTTAAAAAAGCTATTGTGGCTGACTTCACCCTTTTTATATGTTTGCTAATTACAATATTTATAAACATTTAGACCCCATTAAAAGCCAAACTGTACATGACTGTATTTGCCATTGCTGTATATGTACTGTATGTGTGAGAACCATTTTTGCTTAAATTCATTTAAACTTCTATTTTGTTTGTGTGTCTGTGTTAGTTTTGCTATTGTGTATTCTGCAAGTTTCCTGTCAGATATTGCTGGAATTGTGTTTTTCTTTTTATATTCTACAAATTTTATGTTGTATACACATATCTCATTAAATTATTATGTTTCTTGATTATTATTTTTTGGGGGAATTATTCCTAGTAAAGAAGGGTACGCTTTCATTTTGAATTTAAAATACAATTTATTTTTGCACTGTACTACGTATGTCTTTCACCGGTATTTTTGGGTCTTTTACCCATTTACCACATATGATAAAATGTTCCTTCTGTTTCACAACAATTCCTATGATTTATCTGTCGTAGATATTATTGAGGGGGTTGTATATCATCTGTAGAACATTTTATGCCAATTTTCTTCAGGTTATAACTTGGTATAAATCTTAAAGATTACTCTGTTGAAGCTGTTTCTTTTGTATTTTTTGACAATGAATAACATAAAATAATATGTGAAAAAGCCATGACAGCTGAATCAAACTCTGGACTGAAAAGTAACCCATCCCAATCTGAGCAAGCACTTTCCTTTGTTATTTTTCCTTGGGCAGAAATTCTTTTAGCTCTCTTCAAACTAAAATTTCTTCTGCTTTAATCTTCCTGCTTTAACAACACACTATTGCAGACAAAGAATCCGGACTAGGTCTACAAAATAAAATTGCATCACATTAACCAATAAGTGTTTTTGCTGCCCTTATACTTTTATTAACTATATAACCTCCAATACTTCCTTGGTTGGTTACTGTAAGCTGCCATGCACATGAATTAGAAGCAGCAGAGGTTGTATTCTTTGTCTGAACAAGAAAAGAGAAAAATGAATTGGTTGACAGAATAGATATTCGAATCACGAACAAAATAAGATATCCAGAGATACAACTAACTGTTAGATGTGTTACATTCAAAAGAGATAACTATGATAAGTTAATTGAACAGATTAAGAAGGATTTAGATATTTGGACCAACCTGCAGCTCTCCCTTATGGGTAGAATTGCGGTAATTAAAATGAATGTGTTACCGCAAATTTTATTTTTGTTCCATAAAATTGGACAAGAAATTTTTTCAAAACCTTAACAAAATTATACTCAAATTCATCTGGCAAGGAAAAAGAGCAAGGATTAAATTAAAATTACTGCAGGATTCAAAGGAAAGGGGGGGATTTGGCCTCCCTGACCTGGAAAAATATTATCAGGCCATAGTATTATTATGGGTAAGGGATTGGATATTACTAAAGAACAGGAGATTATTATGTCTGGAAGGTCATGACTTACAAATAGGATGGCATGCTATGTTATGGGATCATAAATATAAGACACACTGTAAGGACCCACCCCACTTTGCATCTTAAGAAGACAGAACTCTTGGAATAATTCTTCCAACAGGAATCCTTAAGAGAAAATGGTTGCAGGCATGCTAGACAGGACTTGGGGTTCAAGCTCTCCCATTCAAGGTTTTAAGGGGTTCCCCAGTAGTCCCACCCAATCAACCCCCCTTCCAGTGATAGTTTCAAGTATCACAATTCCACCCCCTTTCTTCTTTCTTCCATCTGGATGGAGACTTCAGGTAACTACATGAAAGGCAAATACCCTGCTTTGTTATGATAAGGTCCTCTAGTGCTAACGCTTTGATGTTACAATAAACACACATTCAGCATTCAGCTCTTTGAAGTGTACTGAAGGAAGTGAGGGCCATAAAGCCCCTTTGTTCTCCCCCTTCTCTCCCTCTTATGGCAGAATCCAAAGAAGGCAGAATTGGGAGTTTCTATATTTGATAATTAAAGATGAAATATGATTGGATTCTGACATCCGGCCCCTCTTAAAAATAAGAGAGATCCACCTGAAAGAAAACACAAGTATAAAATTTAGTTAGGCTTGTTAGGATACTCTGTGTGAAACTTCTTCAATAGCTTCGGGGCTCTGACATGACGTTTATGGACCCACTCATTTTGTGAGGGAGGGAGGTGTTTCCAGGCAACTAGGTACTGAGTTGCTCCATGATATCTCCTAGAGTCAAGGACTTCCTTTATTTCGAAGTGTTGTTCACCCTCCACCATGATTGGAGGTGGTGGGGGGGGGATTTTTGGCCGTAGAGGTGACTGATGCTCTCTTTTCAGCAAGCTGCAATGAAAAATTGGGTGTATTTGCCTGAGATTTTTGGGTAATTCTAATTCTACTGTTACTGGATTTATGATTCTTTTAATTGGAAAAGGTCCTATATATTTTGGTCCAAGTTTTTTACAGGGCTGTAGGGACTTTAGGTATTTTGTAGATAAGTACACCATTTCTCCTATAATGAATGGTGTAGGCTCAACCCTTTTTTTATCGGCTTGTGTTTTATATGCCTGCCTAGCTTCATCTAGTGCTTTTCTGACTATTGGCCAGGTGTTTTGTAATTTCTCCATCCATTCTTTCAGCGAGGGGATCGTTGGTTCGTTTGGGGTTAATTCTGGCATGGGGTTGAAACTTTGACCGGTGGCTATTTGAAAAGGAGTGTAACCTGTGCTGGAGTGGACTGCATTATTGTAGGCAACTTCTGCAAAAGGGAGTAAGTCCGCCCACTCGGTCTGCTGGAAACTAAGAAAACATCTTAAATATTGCTTAAGTACGGAGTTCATTTTTTCAGCCCCCCCATTTCCTTGAGGGTGGTGGCTAGATGTCAGTCCCTGAGTGGTTCCTAAGAGGGATAAAAATTCCTTCCAAAATGCAGACGTAAATTGCACCCCCCTGTCAGAGATGATGCGTTGGGGTGCCCCATGCAATCTGTAAATGTGTTGGATGAAAAGTTTTGCTAAGGCTTTTGCAGTGGGAATCTTTTGGCAAGGGATAAAGTGCACCTGTTTGGAAAACAAGTCCGTGACCGTCCAGACCACAGTATTCCCATTGCTTTCTGGCAATTCCACTATAAAATCCATGGCTATTTCTCTCCAGGGGGCTGAGGGACTTGCCACTGTTTGCAATAGTCCTGGCACTTTCCCTTGCAACCTCTTTGCCGTGGCACATTTTGGACAACTGGCTATATAACTTTCAATGTCCTTTTTCATGGATGGCCACCAAAATTGCCGTTTAATTAAATGTAAAGTTTTTACAAATCCAAAATGCCCTGCTGATTTTGTGTCATGGCAAAGGTGCATGAAAGTTACTCTTTGAGTTGTTGGTATATATAACTTTTCCCCTACCCAAGGCAACCCGTCTCTCATTGTGCACACATTTTTGTTTTTCTGGAACCATTCATCTGTTTCCAAACTTTTTCTGAATTCAATTCCAGTTTGGCTGTCCAGTTGTGGTTTTATTTTGGCTTGGGTTCTTGTGGTTACTGGTGCTGCCAGTTGTGACTCTGCCATTATTGGTCTAGAGTCTGTGGTTCGTGCGCTGTTATATTGGGGCATGCGAGATAGTGCATCTGCCAGGAAGTTCTTTCTTCCTGGTAAATGTTTGAGCTTAAATTGGAATTGGTGAAAATGCTGGGACCAGCGGGCTTGTTTGGGATTGAGTTTCCTGGAAGTTTTCAGGGCTTCTAAATT